TCTAGAGGAGTTCGATCAACCACTGGAATATGATGCTTCTTTTGTCTTCAAATCCTGAGTCCTATTCATGAAAAAAAAAAAAAAAGTAAACTTACTTTCAAAATAGAATAAAAGGTATCAACCATATAAGTAGACTTTTTTTTAGTATACTTATAGAGTACTTTAATATATTAATTAGAGAGTACAACAGACATTATATAAATATATTAACTTGTCAATTATTAGCTTGATAACTTCCGGTCCCCATCTAAATAATTGCTGTTCAATAAGATGTAACAAGATGACTTCAATAGTATAGAGAATTGAAAATTAAATACTCCTTAAATCTGACTGTTTTATAAGCGATTTTAATAGTTTTTTAAAAAAAAACCAAAAGGTAACTACCAAGGCAGTGCATCATAACGGACAAGACCAGAAGCTGTAGAGTAAATCTGACTCTCCTACTTACTGGTTATATGATTGGAGGTAACTTGTTTTCTTGACCTCAGTTTTCTTATCCATAAAATGAGGGCAAGAATGATTCCTACTCTGGTAAGGCTGCTGGAAGCATTTAGTTGAAAAACGTTTAAAGTACACTGTGAGGCATATCACAAGGACTCACTAAATAAAGCTATGTTAGTATTAAATATTGTAATTTTTGTATTTTATGTTACAACTATGTAAAACATATCTATAGGAAAAAAGCACACTTATCACCATAGAAACAGTTTAAATCTTAGGAATAAACAGATTCTATGAATTCTTTTATCTTGAGCAAGAAACACCAACCAGTGTGCAGATGCTGAAGGCAAGGCAGCTTCTATGGGGAAGGTTTCCCACGTTTTAGTGAAAGCCACACAGCATACATCTCTATGTCCTTTGGAGCTGGACTAGACTCATGAATCAAAATGTCACCTGTGAGAGGCTCCTTCTATTTAAAAAGAATCAGTGGAAGAACCACCAGACTGCAGCTAAACATACCAGTGAAAGGATCGAGCCATCCGCACAGTAGACTGAACTGCAAAAGCTTTGGGATTTCTCTTCCGGGCATCTTGTTCTTCTCCTAGTTGGATATCCCGCAGATGCCGCTTCTTTTTCTTTTCAGCTTTGGGCCCACTGCTTTTCTTTCTGTGTTTCTTCTGGTCCTTAGCCTCCATAGTGGCTATTTACCAATAACAAGTAACTCTAACCTACAAGGAAGGTTGGGGTAAGGACTGGGAAAAGCATTTTACAATCCAGGCAATACCCAGGGAAAAACAGTAAATTTCATTTATTTATTATTTTTTAGACAGAATTTCGCTGTTGTTACCCAGACTGGAGTGCAACGGCGTGATCTCGGCTCACCACAACCTCAGCCTTCTGGGTTCAAGCAATTCTCCGGCCTCAGCCTCCCAAGTAGCTGGGACTATAGGCGTGCACCACAATGCCCAGCTAATTTTTGTATTTTTAGTAGAGATGGGGTTTCACCTTGTTGACCAGGATGGTCTTGATCTCTTGACCTCGTGATCCAGCCGCCTCAGCCTCCCAAAGCGCTGGGATTACAGGCGTGAGCCACCGCACCCGGCCAATTTCATTGATTTCTTTATGAAGTGATAATGTATTTGTCCATTGAACAAGAGTAGAAACTGCTTAACCATCCCCAATTTCATTTCTCTCTGTCATGCTATAAACTAGATGAGTTACCTCTGCTAACGTTATATTTTATGGTTAAGTTACTTTTTATTCATCCTAAGGGTCAACACCAGCAGTATCTATTTCTGCAAGGATGGAAATATTCTACAGCTGTACCTTTCAGCCATTTAGCCATTAGCCACATGCGGTTACTTAAAATGTACTCAGGGCAAATAAAAAAATGAATTTTTAATTAATTTCATTCTAACTCTAAATAGTCACTTGTGGCTACCATACTGGACAGCTCAGACCTAGACATCAACTGGACTAATGAAGTGATTTCCTAACTTAAACTTAAATTTCAATAAAAAATGTAAAACGTTTTTATGGACTTCCAATACAATCGTAGTATTACTTTTAGTACCTGTTGACTGTAAAAACTCCTAAAGCACAACTCATCTACATACATTTGAAAAACAGCAGCATCTCTGTGTGAGAAATGACTGGTTCTAGATGATGCCTGGAGACCCCATGGACTTAAGAGAGAACCTTCTAGTAATTTTTGAGCTACCTGGCAATCTGTGGCCAATAAATTGGTAATCACTGAATTAGTGAGGTTTATAGGAAATTGGGGCACATAAAATCTGACAGCTTGATTTTTAAAAAGCGGGGCAGGGTATCATTTCATTCAATTAAGATAATGCATTGATTCTGTTTAATAAATATTTGTGTCTGTCTATGATGTGCTAGGCACTGTCTGACTTGCAGAGGGAAATCCAAACCTGTATCTTCCATGCCATGCAATAAGGGCTACACTGCAAGACTGCACTGGAGCACAGAGGTCAGCGCTTCCCACAGACACACACACACCAGTGGAAAAAGAAAGCCTTTTTTTTTTTTTTTTGAGACGAAGTCTCTCTCTGCCACCAGGGTGGAGTGTAGTTGTCACGAGCTCGGCTCACTGCAACTTCCAACCCCCGGGTTCAAGCGATTCTCCTGCCTCAGCCTCCTGAGTAGCTGGGACTACAGGGGCGTGCTACCATGCCCGCTATTTTTTTTTGTATTTTTAGTGGAGACAGGTTTCACTAAATTGGCCAGGATGGTCTCAACCTGTTGACCTCGTACCCCCCTCGGCCTCCCAAAGTGCTGGGATTACAGGCATGAGCCACCAAGCCCGGCCCAGAAAGTCTTTATCACAAGAAGGTCAAGGAACACTGGCCAGGAGTTAGGAGAGCTGGGCACTAGGAACACTTTGGAAATGGAACAGCTGTGTGATTTCAGAGATTATGTTTCTTCTCTACTATATTTTAGTTCCGAACTTGTACTAATGTTTCTCTCCCTATCTTTCTTCTTGGTGGGAAAAGCACAATTTGGGGTCAACAGATTCAACTCGGGTCTAAGTCATCTGCCGGGACCCTGTCTACAGGAAACGAAGTCTCCCTGCTCCCTTCCCTCCGCGTCCAGTCATTCTCCCAACGCAAGACACCTCCCGCAGATGCGAAATATGCCCTTCCTAGGGAGCAAAGATTACTGGGATGACCGGGGGACGACCTTCCCACCCGCAAGATTCACGATCCTCCCAGTGCCTCAGACGCAGGGTCCCCACCGCCACCTACCACAGCCTACGGCACTGACCCAGCTCACAGTTTGAACTGCTCAGGTCGGAATGGAAACCACCAGAAACAGCAATTCACTGTTGCGCAGACTCCCAGAGGGAAACAAGAAGAGGGAAAAAAGAGAAGACCGGGGGACGACTTTCAGAAGAGAAACGGAAGAAAGACTCGCGAACAGCTGAGTGTGGGCGCAGGCGCCGTCCTCGAAGTGCGTTCCACAGATCCACATCTCTGCCAGTTCCTCCCCACCCCACCCTTGGAATCCGAGGCCTCAACTCCCACGGTGGGACTCCCCAGCCGCGTGCACCACGCTTGCCCGAGTCCTCCCCGAAGGCCAGGGCGGCCGTGCGACCTGACGCCGTGTCACTTGGTGCGGTACAAAGGAAGGAGACATATTTGGTCCTGGCTGCCCGGGAGTCACCATGCCCAGGAGTAATGGACTATCGCTCGACTGGGAGTCCACTTCCTCCTCTTTAAAGATGACAGATGAGGAGCAACTCCCTTCTGGGGTGCCCTAAAGCCGTCTTTTGGCCGGGCGCGGTGACTCACGCGTGTAATCCCAACACTTTGGGAGACCGAGGCGGGAGGATCGCTTGAGCATAGGAGTTCAAGACCACCCTGGACAACATAGGGAGACCCAGGTCTTGCGAGAAGAAAAAAAAATTAGCCAGCGTCGTGTAGTGGGTGCCTGTGGTCCCAGCTACTCTGCAGGCTGAGGGGGAAGATCGCTTGAGCCCAGGAGGCGGAGGTTGCAGTGAGCTGAGGTGGAGTCACTGCACTGCAGCCTGGGCAACAGAGCGAAACACTATCTCAAAGAAAACATAAATAAAATAAGGCCCTCTATTGCCAGGACCGACAGACTGAGGGCAGGGACAAACTGACCCAGCCTAAACTGCCTTGCCTTCCCTGCTCCTGGGAAAGGGGCTTTCCCCGAGGGAACATAGCATGTTGCCATTTTCTTCCTGCACAGCTTTGCCTTCCCAGGCCTCCGCCCGTTCACACCTGAGGAAATGCCTTGAAGTCCATCTAACCCCCAGCCCAGCTACTTGGGACGCTAGATCCTGAGTTTAGGGAGTGGGGAAGAGGAAGGAGAGATGGAGACAGGCGTGGACCAAGAGCCACTCAGAGCTGACATCCTGGAAAGGAAGCCAGGCTGAGATAAGGGCAAGGCAAAGAAATAGACACTAGCAAGGATCAAGCCAGAGCAGGGCAGGGACTGGGGACAGAGCCCGCCCCCATGAGAAGCTGTCACATTGCTGGTCCGGTGGTCTGTGACAGCAGCGCCATCTCCAGTTGGAGCCTCCTGCCTCTGGATCCTGTCACTGTAACTTTGCTTTGGTACTTAGGCAGACAGCAGCGGTAACAGGCAGGGAAGATGATGCCCAGGGCAGCTGGCCGTGCCATTCCAGCCCGGCTGCCAACCCACCCCTCACTGCCCATTTCATCACCTGGGGGAGTCCAGATGAAACCAGCTATCAGGCTAGCTGCCCTTGCCTCCTAGTGTCACAATGGAGACGAGGGTAGCAACTGGCCTCGTCTATCCAGACTTTCCCCGGATCCCTGAAGCCCACAGCTGAACTTGGGGAGAACAAGCCGTCTCATTTGCTGGTTCCTGTCTCTAATACTGCCTAGGAGTCTCTGCTCCCAGGCACCATTAGAGACAGGAACCAGCATATGAGACGAGCTTGAGGAGAAGGTTGAAGACACATATTTGGCATAAACCGAAGGCCCCTCTCTGCGCTCACTGAACCGGCGCCCTGCGCAGTGCTGAGCCTGCCCTGGCCGTGCCCACCTGGGATAGCTCCTGAGCGGTGGCCCGTCATACTCGGTGGGGAGAGGTTCACGCTGCTCCTCGCCTGCTTGGTGGCGGATGCAGTCTGGCTCGGGGGTCCCGCATCGAACATGCCCCGCCAGCCCTGGCTACCATTTCGGAGGGGATGCCCCAGGCTGCGATTCTGGGACTAGCCGGCTGCCGGCAGGGAGGCGGCTGCAGCTACGGAGCCAAGAGATGAAGCAGATCCCAGAGCCAACTCCGCAGCCGCAACTCCAGCTTTGTTCGTGGGTCCGGGATGCAGCGGCCTCCAGTCACCCCATGGACGCACCGGGTCCGCCTCGCCACCGCAGCGTGGCCCTGGCTTCCCGGATCTGCGAGATTCCCGCCAGGGCCGGGCCTGTCTGGCTGCGAGGAGGAAGGCGTGGCCCTGGTGGGGAAGGGGCAGGGCTGCGGCTCTGGCCACAGGGCAGGGGCAGAGAAACGACGCCAGTGTCATCCGGGCGCCCAGCTCCCTTCCCGCCTCAGCCAGAAGACCCCGGAACCACTTGCGGCTGAGGGCCCACAGAGCCCTGGAAGTCGGGGGCGGGGGCGCCCTGGGAAGCGAGGCGGCCAGGCTCCACGCCGGCAGGACTCAGATTTCATCGCTGGTTTTGAAATTGTGCTCGCGGAGCCCGGGACGCTGGGAGAAGCGTTCTGCGCCCCTCCGGTCGTGGTCTGCGCATTAAACCGACTTCCAGTGCTGCCTCTGTTCCCTGCACTGGAGGGCACCGACGTCCCATGAAGTCGCAGATCCGCAGCCTCCCGCCCTCCTTGCTACGGATGCCGGAGGGGACCCCGCCTCGCTGCGCTGCCCCCTGGAGGCTCAGGCGTCCGTTGCAGGCGGGAGCGGCGGCTGCGAGGCTTCCAGGAGCCCAGGCCTAGCCACTGATGAAGAAGCACTGGTGGCTTCGAGGTCGCGGCTTCCAGAAATCCGGTTATAGAGCGGAGCTGGGGGTCAGGTTCCAAAGGGACAGTGCCCCGTCGTACTCACCACCCAACCCGCCGCTTCCGAAGCCACAAGCCTAGGGTGAAGCTGTTGGGTGGACTCAGCGGATGAGGGGCAGCGAGGGAGTTTGGGACCACAGGAGTTCAAGACCAGGCTGGACAACATGGCGAAACCTCATCTCTACTAAAAATACCCAAAAAATTAGTTGGGCGTGGTGACGGACACCTGTAATCCCAGCTACTGGGAAAGCTAAGGCACAAGAATCAAGTTCAAGACCTGGGAGGCAGAGGTTGCAGTGAGCCAAGATCACGCCATGGCACTCCAGCCTGGGCAACAAGAGCAAAACTCTGTCTCAAAAAAAAAAAAAAAAAAAAATTGTCAGCCCAGAGGCAGCTGCCATTCAGAAGCAGGCTTAAGTCAAGTCCTCGAGACTAGAAAGCATGAAGCAGGGGAGGCGTTTTGAACGCTTATGAACAAAAGACCATGGGCATGGATGGTTGAGTCCAGGGATCAGCATCTTAATTTGTTGAGAAGGAGGCTGTGCTGAGCTGCCAGTTATTAATGGGTTTAATTGGTTGATACACAGTCCTACTAATGGCGTAACCAGTAGCTCAGGGCCTGGGAGGATCCGCAGGACATGTCAGAATTTGATTGCATTTCCTTCCACTTGGCATAAGGAGACACCATCAGCCGGATTCGGTCACGGTGGGATGGAGCCCACTGAGGTGGGAGCACTGAGCTGATCACGCCACCAGTCATAGAGTAGGGGCCTTTCCTGCCCCTTTAACCGCAGCTAACATCAAAAGCACTGGCATGGGATGTCTATCTGAGCTGAAACCCGTTTGTCTTTGTCTGCAATTAAGATTCTTCTGGGTTGATTTTGCCAGTTCATTATCCAGCTCTCTGGAATCAGGCCTCCCAAATTTATCAGGGCTGGGGAGGACCTGAGGGAATGGCCTATAAGGGCTGGCCAGTGAAACTGCTCTTTCCTTTCTGTTCTAAGGGTGTGATGGTGTTTAAGGACTGTGGGGCTATGGTCCAGGAGCACCTCACATGTGCAAAGATGGAGAAAGCACTCACCTACACATTTAGGCTCAGAACATTGATTGAAACATTTTAAATAATCAAAAATAAAATGTTATTTTTAAAGTTTTTCTTTGAGATTTTGCTTAAGTTTTGGGAGATATTATTTTTTCTTTTTTTAAAGAATGAGTTATGTAGACCAGTAGAAGATAAGCAAGGTGAAGAGGGGCTTAACTGAGTGACAGAATTAGCTCAGAGGAAGCCCTGGAGTGGGTAGCTCCTCTCTGAAGCTGGTCATCACATTGAGTGTTCAGCTCTCAAGAGAGAGGAGGCCCTGAATTGGGTGGCTCCTCTCTGTAGCTGGTTGTCATGATGTCTGCTCAGTTCTGGCTGAGCCTGGTGCTTTTATGGGCCTCAGAGGAAAGGAAATGCCACCCTGACTGGTCCATGGGTGGCCATGGGTGGGCTGGAAAGGGCACCACAAGTTCCCACTATGGTCCACAGGACTGCCAGACTGGCCACCAGCCGTCAGGCCCTCCCTGGCCTGAAGGTAGGGTCTCACTGGGGACCCACCCCCTTCTACCATGTAATCTGTCTGCTTCCTCCTGCTGCCTTTCATGGTGCCCAGGCTGTAGGGGCCAAGGGGTACCTGCAGGCCAGTGCCAAGCTGCCCTCAGGCCCCTATAGGCTTCCCTCCTGTGCTCATTAGGGCCCAAAGTCTGGAGGGCCCTGAGGCAGCAGGAAGCTGGCATGTCAGCATTTCCCCAAGCATGTGTACACACAGTTGGGCTGTAACAGCACCCAGGCTTAGCTGGGCTTTGCCCCAAGATTGGAGGGAGTGCCAATAGCAGGGAGAAGCCAGACAGTGGGAGCAGGCATTTTTAAGCCTGCAAGGGTATCAGCAGTGCCTTCTCAGGGCTGCACACTCTGTGGAGCCAGCAGGAGCTAGGGACAAGTGGGAACCTTGGTTATTCAGAGTTGGTGGGGTGAGAGCTTTCTGGCTGCAGTTGCAGCTGCTCAAGTCTTGGCTATGGAGCCTAGGCTCCTGCTCCATGGAGCAGGCAGGAGCCCCACCCACTCTGGGCACAGCCCTGGCTGCACCTCCTTGCTGCAGCCAGTGTGATGGCAGCAGCCACTCCAGACAGGCCACCACTGCCATCAATAAGATGTCTACAGGTTCTTGGTTTCCAGGGACCCTGGCTGCTACGAACATGGTACCCATCTGGTTCATCTTGGAGACATGGTTTTGTCCATAACTGTGGCTTGTCAAATCCTTCTGTATGACACAAGAGTCAGTAAGAGCCACTCCTTGTATATAACAGAAACCAGCTTAATGCTGCTTGCAGGACAGTTCTCTGGGTGGCTTGGACAATGCAGTTCTCCCCCTTTTTTTTTTTTTTTTTTTGAGATGGAGTCTCACTCTGTCAGCCAGGCTGGAGTGCAGTGGCACTATCTTAGCTCATTGCAACCTCCAACCCCAGGGTTCTAGCAATTTTCCTACCTCCTCCTCCTGAGTAGCTGGGATTACAGGTCCTCGCCACCACTCCTGGCTAGTTTTTGTATTTTGGTAGAGACAGGGTTTTGCCATGTTGACCAGGTGGGTCTCAAACTTCTGACCTCAGGGGATCCACTTGCCTCAACCTCTCAAAGTACTGGGATTACAGGTGTGAGCCACTGTGCCTGGCCCCAACTTCTTTACTTATAGTTCTCAAGAATAACTATAGGATGTGCTAAAAACGCAACATCCTGAGATAAGTAGGAATTGACCCAAACAGCCCAGGTTCTGTTCTTGTTCCCCCTAGAAACAGAGTGTTTTTCAGTGCTTTAGTGCAGCAATTCCCACTACCCAGGAGTATACCTATCCCCATTTCTGGTTTGGGTAGACCAGATCTCAGCAATGAATGAAAACCATAGCTGTTTTATCAAATAGCAGCAGTCTTGTTTTGTTTAATAGTGCTGGAAATTAGGTTTTCAGGTACTGATCTTGACAGGTCAGCTGTCAAAAGTGGGTGTCTGTGAACTTAAATTCATCCATCCTGCAAACACAGTGTCTGCAAAATACAAGGAGAAGTCAGAGTAGACACACTCATGTACAAATGAAATGGTCTGGAGCTGTATGACTAAGTGTTGGGACTTCTTTGGGTAAAATAAATCTTCTGGCTTTCATTTTTCGTGCCTATCAGCCACATTTGGCTTTTATTGACTGAAATATTTTCCTGAGTTTTCAGAGTGGGCACCAGTCACCTTCAGAATGGGGGTGGGATGCAAGTCTCTCCTAATCTTGGTTGACTACAAGGCTAGTGATACATTGGAAGCCTTCATTTACTTAAAAAAAATTCCTCTGGATTATTTCATGTGAACTGTGCTTTTCTATGTTCTGGCCTTATATTTTGGATCTCAGATGAATGGCCTTGCCCAGAAATGGCAGAGGTTTACCATTCTCGTCTTAAGATTTGGGCAAGAGCACAGGGTTTTGTGGAAATGGGGAGATGCACTCAGCCTGGAGCACTTGGCTTCTGTCTGATGTGAGGGAATAATAAAGTTTCCTACCCAGTATGAAGGATCCTGAATCCTGGAACATAGTTGCACTTTGATGTGTTTGAAAGGCAGAATTTTCATTTATTGCTTTGAAGTATTTTTTCCTTGCTCTGCCAGGGTACAGGATGCCTAGAGCCCAGGGAGAGAGAAGTCTGCGCTAACGCAAAACAAAAATACTTTAAGTCCTAACCACTTTTAGATGAAGGGATAAGCATGATAATGGCCTTGGAGGGATTTTTTTCCTTCATGAAATTTCATTTTAATTTACATGGCCTTCTTGTATTAAGGTTGTCTGAATATTAACTAAGATTATTTGGAGCTGCTCCTCTTTCTCAGTGGAGAAAGATCACTTGGATTGCTTATCTTCTTGGATCTGGGCCTCAGCTGTGGCCAGTTCCTATCTCCCAGCCCAACAGTTTACAGACCTCCCACCATCTCGGAGAGGTCCTAGAATATGAGATGCTGTGCTGGTCAAACTAGCCATGTGTCCCTTCTAGGAGATGAGGCACCCCTAGACCAAAGCACTGATTTATTGGGTTCTGACTCTCAGACTGGCCTTGACATACTGACAGATAATTTGACTCCAATTGCTCCCTCATCAATCAGTTTTCAGTTGTACAAGTGCATGCAAAAGAATATAGCTCAATCATCTCTGCTAGTTATCTTCATCAAAAGCTTATTTTACTTCCTACTAGAGTAGTGAAAATACTGTTAAAGTCAGGACGAGGATAAAGAAGGTAATAATGATTAGCTATAATTCCACCACCTTTATGTAATACGTATATCCACAGATCACATTCTAACATCTCTTCTCCCATTTTTACCACTGCTTTATTATTATGATTATACTTTAAGATACATGTGCAGAATGTGCATGTTTGTCATATAGGTATACCCATGCCATGGTGGTTTGTTGCATCCATCAGCCTGTCATCTACATTATGTATTTCTCCGAATGCTATCCCTCCCCTAGCCTCCCCACCTACCCATAGGTCTCGGTGTGTGATATTCTCTTTTCTGTGCTGTCATTGTTCAACTCCCACTTATGAGTGAGAACATGCAGTGTTTGGTTTTCTCTTCTTGTGTTAGTTGAGGTCATACTGAATACAGTTTTATATCCTAGTTCTTTGTGATTTTTAATTAAGCTATTGTATAATAGACTATTTCAAAGTTATTTTCTTCTTTGAACAGCCCCTCAATTTGGTAGGCAAGGAAGATTTTTATTTTCCATTTCATAAATAAGAAAATGGAATTGTCTGGGCACAGTGGCTCATGCCTATAACCCCAGCACTTTGGGAGGCTAAGGCCAGTGGGTCCCTTGAGCCCAGGAGTTTGAGATCAGCCTGGGCCATATGGAAAAACCCCGTGTCTACGAAAAATACAGAAAAATTAGCAGGATGATGTGGTGCAGTCCTGTACTCCCAGCTACTCGAGAGGCTGAGGTGAGAGGATCACTTGAGCCCTGGAGGTGGAGGATGCAGTGAGCCATGATTGCACCACTGCATTCTATCCTGGACAAAAGAGTGAGACCCCATAAAAAAAAAAAAAAGAAGAACAGAAAAGAAAATGGAATCTCAGTAAAGTTTACTTTATTGAAAAAATATTTCTATATTTCAAGCACTGTGCTGTCCAATGCTGTCTGAGGTCACTCAGGTAAGCGGCGAGAACAATTAGAACACAGGTCTACTGACTCGTGAATGTCTGCTAAGTGCGCACCTCCAAGTTCCTGTCTTCTTCCCCAGTTATAGAAGTCGACGTTGGAGAGGAAAGCCTGGAATTTGAGGCAAGCTTGGAGATCCTGAGATGGGAATGAGAAAGGCCAAATGCAGCCCAAGAGCCTGAGGCTCTAGACAGCTTATGAGGACAGGGTTTTGACCCTAGAGAACATAGCAAGAAACCCCGATGCCACAGCTGACTCACAGACTTCGGCCAAGAGTAGAAGGAACTGGAGATCATTTCTATTGCAGATTTGCATACATCAGGGATCTTGGGCTAAACATTCATTAGTTGTGATAAATGTGTCACAACTGGGTGTGGGATCTATTGACATTCTCTGTACAATATTTACAACTTGTCTGTAAATCTAAAACTATTCTAAAGTGAAATCTGCTTTCAACAAACAAGTAAGAGTTTACCAGACCCAGAAGAAGAGAAAGGGCATTCCAGGTAGAAAAAAAAAACAAAAAACAGATACAAAGATCGGGAGGGAACATGATGTGCCTGAGAAAGGAGGAGGGACTTGGGAGATTGTAGTATATATACTGTGACTACATAAACTAAAGTGAGGCTGAGTCAGGATTGGCTCTGGATGAGGAACGCTTTTCTTTTAGGCCAAGCTTAAATGTCTTTGGATTTTTTCTGTTGGAAAAATAAATTCCTTAGAATACTTTAATTAATATAGTTCATATTTGAGTTTATTAGTAGTAAGAGTTCCCACCTGCGTATTGAAGGATGAGTTATGAGACAGAGGTTGGGAGTCATGAAACCAATGAGAAAGCTGTTGCAAACATCTAGGGGGACTGAGGTGGTGCTTCCTGGAGCAAAGCAGTGGGCCAGAAGCAGAGAATGATGTTCAGGGCTACATCCCAACTG